GCCAGGATGGTCTCGATCTCCTGACCTCGTGATCCGCCCGTCTCGGCCTCCCAAAGTGCTGGGATTACAGGCTTGAGCCACCGCGCCCGGCGCTGACTTTCATTATAAACTGCTGTTTCTTGATTTAGCCACCTCAGGCAACATCAAATAGCTTCCCACTAAATGAAATGAAGCTTTGGCTCTCTTGAAACCCAATCCCCCTATTTCTCCTCTCTGCGTCCTCCTAATATGACTGCATCGCAAAGTTTGGTGAAACCATTAATCAGTCAGGCGTGGGTGGCTCGTACCTGTAATCTCAGCACTTTGGGAGGCCGAGGTGGGAGGACTGCCTGAGGCCAGGAGTTCGAGGCCAGCCTGGGCAACATGGCAAAACCCCAGCTCTACCAAAAAATGTTAAAAATTAGAGAGGCATAGTGGCACACTCCTGTAATTCTAGCTACATGGGAGGCTAAAGAAGGAGGATCCCTTGAGCCCAGGAGTTCAAGGTTGCAGTGAGCCATGATCATAGCACTGGACTCCAGCTTGGATGACAGAGCAAGACCCTGTCTCAAAAAAAAAAAAAAACCAAAAAACCTGAAAGATTAATATTTATATAGAATTAGCAAAAACTATGTAAATATTTTCTACTGAACCAAGTAGTGTACTATTTACATTTCCTTTCTCATTGATAGCTGTCTTATTTTCTTTGCTTGTCTTTCTATATACATTTGCTATTTTTCCTAAATACTCTAAGATATGTTGAACTTCTTACATCCTTACAATGACTTTTCCCAGTTTTCTTTTCTTTTCTTTTTTTTTTTTGAGATCCAGTCTCACTCTGTTGCCCAGGCTGGAGTGCAGTGGCTCAATCTTGGCTCACTGCGAGCTCCGCCTCCCGGGTTCACGCCATTCTCCTGCCTCAGCCTCCCGAGTAGCTGGGACTACAGGCGCCCGCCACCTCGCCCGGCTAGTTTTTTGTATTTTTTAGTAGAGACGGGGTTTCACCGTGTCAGCCAGGATGGTCTCGATCTCCTGACCTCGTGATCCGCCCGTCTCGGCCTCCCAAAGTGCTGGGATTACAGGCTTGAGCCACCGCGCCCGGCCTTGTGTGTTTTTTTCTGTTTTCTTGTTTTGTTTTGTTTTTGAGACGGAGTTTCGCTCTTGTTGCTCAGGCTGGAGTGCAATGGCGCAATCTCAACTTACCACAAACTCCCCCTCCTGGGTTCAAGCAATTATCCTGCCTCAGCCTCCAGAGTAGCTGGGATTACAGGCATGCGTCACCACACCCAGCCAATTTTTTGTATTTTCAGTAGAGACGGGGTTTCTCCATGTGGGTCAGGCTGGTCTCGAACTCCCGACCTCAGGTGATCCACCCACCCCAGCCTCCCAAAGTGTTGGGATGACAGGCTTGAGCCACTGTGCCCGGCAGCTTTTTTCAAGTGGCAGAATTGGGGTTTCAAGCCCCTTTCTGTCGTTTCTAAAGTCCAAGCTCACTGGGCATGGATCACTTGAGCCCAGAAGGTTGAAGCCTCAGTGAGCTGTGATCGTACCACTCACTGTGTTACAGCTAGAGCAAGACCCTGTCTCAAATAAACAAATAAGTAAAGTTCAGGCTCGTTTATATAACATACTGCCTCTTTTCCAGTAGGGTTTAGATCTGGACCAGCCTTCTGGATGGCAGTGGGAGGGAGGTCCTGAGTGTGCCTGGCCCCCAAGGGTAGGGAGGAGGCCCTGTACTGCAGCATCCATCCAAACACGCCCTGTGCTGGGCCCAGTGTAAAGAGGACACGTTCCGTTCCTGCCTTCCAGAGGCCCCTTCTCGGCAGGACTGGCGAGACTTCCCTGGGCTGCGAGATGGACGTCACCACGTGCTGCCTTTCGAGTTGTCTTTCATGTAGGGATTTGAACGCCAGTCCGTGAAGCCCGGCGAGGATTGACATGACACGCGCGGCCCAGAGGAGCACGGGGCTGGCTGCCTGGCCGAGCTGGCGGCGCGGACCTCCAAGCTGGCGGCTCGGGCTAGAGCGGCCGCTATGAGGACCACCGCTCTAGCCGGCACCTCGCTAAGGCGGAAGTCGCGACGCACACTTCCGCCGGGCGGGCCCGTTGCTGGGCGGGGCGGTGACGTTGGCCCGGAAGGGGCGGGCCCGCCGGGAGCCAGGCCGCGCGGCGCCGCGCCGGCCGAGAGAGGTCCGGATCCCGGACCATGGCGGCTGCGGGGGTCGCCGAGGGGCGGCGCGCGGCCCTGGAGGCGGCTGCGGCGGCGGCTCCTGAGCGGGGCGGCGGGAGCTGCGTGCTATGCTGCGGAGATCTGGAGGCCACGGCGCTGGGCCGCTGCGACCACCCGGTGTGCTACCGCTGCTCCACCAAGATGCGGGTGCTGTGCGAGCAGCGCTACTGCGCCGTGTGCCGCGAGGAGCTGCGCCAGGTGCGGGGCGCCGGGGGCGCGACCGGGGGGTGGCGGGGCTCCCGGCAGCGGGAAGGGGACTTTGCCTCACTGAGGTCCGGCCGTGGGCCCGGCGGCGCCGGCTTCCGAGAGAGGCCTGGTGGGGCCACCCAGGGCGGGGTCCCGGCCGTGCGGATGACGGCGGGGCGTTGGGGCTGGGAGGCCGGAGGCTGCCGAGCGGGTTGGAGGAGTGGGCAATCCCTGTGGGGACAACCTGGGGGCTTACTCCGTGTCCCGGGGGTTCCTGTCGGGCCTCAGGAAGGGGCCTGATCAGATGGAGAACTCGGTGACCTGCTCGTCTTCGGGAGTTGATTTCCCAGGGGCTTCCATTCGGATGGAGGAAACAAGGCAAGGGGGACCCTCCGGAGGCCACCCGTCCTGGAAGCAGGGCGTCAAACTCTGGGCATTCTCAGCCCAGCTGTGTTTCAGGGCCCCCGTTGGGTGACCCTGAGCAAACTCCTTCCGAGACTGACGTTTTCCTCTGTGGGGTGGAGGTGACACTAGCCTCGGAAGGACCCCTGCCCACCAGAGGGGAAGGCCCCCTCCCGGTTCTTGGCGGGAAGGTAGAAAAGTGTTAGGAAGTTTTCCTCCTCCTCGCCGCCGCCCCCTTTGGCGCTCATCTCCACAGTGAATGGGAGACATTTTTGACTGTACAGACTTGGAAGTCCTGGAGGGGTCAGAGGGTACCATGCAGCGTTCCTCCACCCTCACTGCACTGCCAGCTGCTGACTGTGGGCACCTGGCTGGAGCCCCTTGGTTTGCTGAGCTTAGAGATTTGTTTGCTTCCAGCATTGTGAAATTCCCCCGGTTTGTTCAGAGAAGACTTCATTCAGCTGGTGACATCTGTTAGGAATCTAACTTTCCTCTTCTCAGAAGTGATGCAGAACAGTATTGAAGGATAGGTTCTTTCTTTTTTTCCTTTTCTTTGTTTTTTATAAGTAGACATTTACATCAAAGGAGCTGAAGAGATGCTGAAATTCTCTGAGCAATTTGTGAGCATCTATCCTGTGCCCTTTTTGGAAAAAGACATTTGGAGATGCTGTCAGTCTGTCATGTGACAGAAGGAGGCTGACCCAGACCCCGGGGAGATCTGGGGTGCGGGAACAGTCACGGAGGACCTTGACCCATGGCTTCCTCAGGGCGCTTCCTGGCTTTGCCAGAGCCTGCCTTGCCAGCCAGTCCTGCGTACTATGACCTCACTCTCCAACAGCCAGGCTTCCCGGCACACCTGTAGCTTCCTTCTGGAAAGAAGACGCTAAGGAGTTCTTGGCACGTGAGGTTCCGGCCCAGGCTGCAGGTCTGATGCAAGACATGAGTGAGCATCTGCGTGTGCTTACTCCGGCAGCCTCTGCCTGCTCTCATTCCTTGTAGCCCCACACCCTCCAGGAACTCTGTGGCCAGGGGCTGTGGCCGTGAGCTGTCAGCCGGGGTGCGGCTTGGCACTGGGTGCCCCCAGCCAGCTGCTTCTGGGGCCTGCCCCGCCTTACTGGGCTGAAGGAGGGGTCCTGGGAAGTCTGGTGTTTGCTGCTCTCCCCTCCTTTGCATTCGTCCTGTTTCCTTCCCATCTTGAACTTGCTGCCTCACTCTAGCCTCCTTTTTCCCTTACTGAGTTTGGCACCATCCCCTGAGTATATTCTGTGTCCGATGTGTGCTCAGGAATTCCCTCTGCAGCCCTCAACTCCTGAACCCTGTCGTTGTCTTGGCCTCCCTTATGGGACTAAGGCTTTGCGAAAATTGGGAGGAAAGTGTCCAGGATGCCGTATGGAATCGGCTGGCTCCATGTGCTTGTTAGTTCCACACACCTGGACCCAGACCTTCCCTGCGGAGGCTACAGCTGCTGCTCAGGCGAGGAGCCAGATGGGCCCGACCCCTGGCAGGTGCTGGGGTGGAAGCCGAGCCAGGCTCCCCTCGGTGGGAGGCAGGGGCGCTGGTCTCAGCCTTGGCTGACAGAGGCCCTGGGGTGGTGGAGCCCCATGTTCTGGGCCTCTTTTCTGGCCGTGTCTTTCTCAAGGGCCGATTCCTGCTGTTTGCGTCTTGCTCGCCAGCTTGCTCTGGTTCCTGGTGTTACTGCGGGAGTCCTGATGAGGCTGTGGGCCCCCCAGGGCAGCCCACCCGCACCTCACAGGCAGGCAGTGGGAGGGGGCGCAGATGGCCAGCCCACAGTTACCCAAGGTCCCAGGTCAGGAGGGTGGCCTGCTGGCTCGGGTCATGCTTTCCTATTCCTACCGTTCCCCCATTCCGTCCTCCGTGACCCTGGCCCTGTCTGTAAGATGCTCCCTGCTGCTGTCCCCATCCGGGCTCCGTGGAGGTCTAGGCGCTCTAGATGGCGCTGGGAGCCATCCACAGGGTCCCCCTCCGCACGTGTGGGCAGGCCCTCACCGCTGCCCTTTTGTGTGCCCATGGCATGCTGGGGAGTGTGGAGCTGCAAGGCCCCAGGCAGACACCTGTCCCTGTAGGGGGTCCTGGGGGCCTCCTGTTCCTAGGCAGGCCCCCCCTCCACCTCTCACTCTCCTTGGGGCCTGGCCTGGCCGTCTCCAGGGCTCACGTAGAGCGCCCTTTCCCCAATCATTTGCTGCATAGCCCATCCCCAAGCCTCTCCCCATGGGTTCTGTACTTCTGTCTTCAGACACGTGACCCTCTCCTGCCGGGGAGGGTGACCTAGATGTCTTGTCTCCCTCTGTAGCCCCAGCCATCTCCCCCCGGCCCCCCACATCCCACCCCAGCCCCCCACATCCCACCACAGCCATCTCCCAACGGCCCCCAAGTCCCACCCCAGGCATCTCCCCCAGGCCCCCAAGTCCCCTATCCACAGCCATCTTCCCCTGGCCTCCATGTCCCCTACATCCCCTACTCCCAGCCTGGCCGTGCTGGAGTAGCACCAGGCTAGTTGGCTCCTCGGTTAACCGTGCCTGACTCCAGCCTGTCCACTCTGCTGTGGGGCGTAGCCTCATCCAGCCCCCTCCTCACACTCAGGGAGGGTGATGCTGGCCGTGCCAGGCTGCGCTGCTGTCCTATTGCCCGCTCCTGAGGTCTGGGCGGCCAGGCCTGGTCTCCCTGCCTGTCTGAGGATGGGCAGCCTCAGGCCCCCACCAGCAGGTGGTATTTCCCTGCTCCGGCCCTGTGGCCCCAAACCTGCATGCCCTCCTGCTCTAGTAAACGCGGCCTTGGGCCCACCTTGCTCGCAGACATTGTTCTTTCCCAAGCCTCTTCCTCTTCATGAGCCCACCCAGTGCATCCTTTCTCTTGTCTCGTTGCTCCGCTCAGGTGCCCCGCCTGGGTTACCCCTGCCAGCTAGCTGTTCAGGAGGGACGAGTACCCTGGGTCTTGCTGCCTCTGGTGCTCGGAGCACCTGCCCCAGCTGCTGGGCAGATGGACACCCGTCTAGACCCCACATGGGGCATGTGGCCCTCCTGTTCCAGCCCACCCTGGATCCTTCATCTGGGCGCTGTCAGTGCCCCCGGGACCCGTCCGGCCCTGCCTCTACCCAGCTCCCTGCAGCTCCTCCGCCCCGAGCTGCTCCCTGGCCTCAGAAAGGCTGCCTTGACCGAGTCCGCCCGCCCCACCAGTGCCATCCCACATAGGTTCCTCGGGACTTAGGATGTACTAGCATCGCGTGGGGCGTGGGTGCCTCCAGGCGGCAAGGACAGAGGAGTCTATGTGCTCCTCAGCGGGGCCTGGCCCTGTGCCCGCACTTGGTGGCGCTCGGGACGCCCGAGTGGAGGCCGGCTGCATGTTAGGGTGCCTCGGATGCCCCTGTGCCCGCAGCCTGAGGAGTCACCACCCAGGGTGGATGAGAGCGCGTGGCTGAAAGGAGGGGTGCCAAAGTGGGGAGGTGGGGCTGGGGACACCCCTGGCATGGGTTTCCTCGGAGGAAGGAAGTTGTTTCTCGGAGTTTGATGGGCTTGAATGCTTTTTGGCAGCCTCACGGGCTTCCCTCACAGGCTGCTCACCTGGCCGCCTCACAGGCAGACACTGGCTTCCTCGCCCGCCTGCCGCTGCTGCTTCGGGAGCTGTGGTGGGGGCGTGGTCCTGTGTGGTTCCGGGAATCCCGGTCCTCAGCTGCCTGAGGAGGCTCGCGCTCTCGGTCCCAGCAGCACTCTGAGTGGCTCCACAGAGTGTGCCCGTGAGGGTCGGGCTAGAAGGCAGAGCTGGGTGCCAGCTGCCCTGAGGACAACTGCTGTGGAAAGAGGTCACACAAGGCCCAGGGCCTTCCCTGTGTTTGGGGTGTGCAGAGGGGCTGCTTAGGAGGAGAGCCAGGGGACAGGTCAGGGTGGTGTGGCAGCCCGCAGTGACTGGCAGCCTTTGTAATGGGGCTCTGGGTGGGGCCGCTACTCCCATCTGAAGTCATCGTGGGAGGCAGCTGTGATGAAGTGCCCATCTGAGCCCAGCGGGTGACGGGGATGCAGAGGTGGCCAAGTTCATCCTGCCCAGCCTTGCCTGATGTGACGAGGGGAGGAAAGGTGTGGGCTGCTGCCCACCCCTCCCTCGTGGAGCCAGCTCCTGTCAGTGGGGCGCAGTGCAGCGGCCTGTCCTGGCGGAAGTGGAGGCTGAGCTCTCCTGGTGATCCTGACCCTCCTGGGGAGCCAGGTTTAATCACCTGCTCTGGGGGACACAGACCACCCCAGGACCGCCCGAGTACGTGTGGGACTGGCTCTCCTGCCAAGCCTCAGGTTTCCCAACTTCACAGCCGTTCCGGCCTGACATCCTCTTTGGCTAAGGCTAAACATAACATGACCTTGGCGTGAGTCTTGCCAAGGTGAGGATGTCCTCCTGCTGTGGATGTGCCCATGAGGCCTTGAGCTGCTCTGAGGGCTTGAGCCGAGGCAAGTGACCAGTGGCAGGCTTGGGACGGCGATGGAGCCAGAAGGGGGCTTGACCAACCCAAGGGGTGGGTGGCACCAATCTCCGCAGGCGTGGGGGCAGCAAGGGTTCTAGCCAGTAGAGCTTCCTGGAGAGCAGGGGTGCTGACCTGAGCGGGGATGCCAGGGTCGTCTGTGGAGGCACAGGGCAGAGGGCAGGTCGTTTGGCAGCCAGCTTTACAGGTGCCAGAGACCCCTGGGAAGGGGGCCACGCAGAGGCTCTGCAGCGCCTGCTGACTCTGCTTGGAGCTGAGGTGGCTGGCTTGAGCCTTGGGCTGTGGCGGCACCATGGAAACGTGGGGGTGGGGGCGCCGGACAGGGCCTTGTCACCTGATGTATCCCCGGCTGGCCACCATTGGTATTCCCTTAGCAGCTGCTTGGAACATGTTTCTTCTCTGTCCCAGAAAGCGCAGCAGCGAGAGCGACAGCTGCTCAGTTCCCAGCAGGGTGGAGTCGCTGGGTGAGGGCCCTGGTCGGTGGGGCGTCGCCGCTTTGGGACTGGCCTGGCCGCCCCCTGGTGGAGAGGCCGGGCGTTGCGTCTCTGTCCTCTGTCCCCGGCCCTAGGCAAGCGGGTTGGAGTAAGGAGGGGAGGCCTAGGTCAGGGTGCCGGGGCCGCTGCCTACCGGGGCCTCCCAGGAGAACCGTTTATGCCTCACTCCTACTCAGCGGGGCCGTGAGGGCTCCTTGCCTCTGAGGCTCTGTTGCATTCCAGGTGGGGGTCCCATCCCAGTTCTGTTCACTGTCCTTCTGGTTTTGGCTCTAGGTGGTCTTTGGGAAGAAGCTTCCTGCCTTTGCCACCATCCCCATCCACCAGCTGCAGCATGAGAAGAAATACGATATCTACTTTGCAGATGGAAAGGTGTACGCGTTGTACAGGTAAGCAGAGCGCCTTCCTGGGTCCTGGCTTCCCTGTGACTGTGGCCCTTCACGTCCCACTCTCCTCACAACCGGAGGCACTTCGGGGGCCACATGGTGCACCAGTGCTGGGGCCAGGTGCCTGGCTTCCCGTCCTGTGACTGGGGACGCTTACCAGGCCCTCCCGGGGGTAGAGCTGGTGGGTGCGCTGGGGAAAGGCATGCCCAGGTGGTGCCGCACCTGCCTCAGGGGCTCCTTGAGGGGCACGCGAGCTTGTGTGAGCCAGGCCTGTGGCCTGAAAATTCAGTAAAGGGCACAGCTGTCCCAGGGCTGGTCTCTCAGGGGAGGGGCAGCTCCTGGGCTCAGGGCTAGAGCCAGGCTTCTGACCCAGGCCGTGTGCAGGCTTCACCCAACCCGTGGCCTTGCATCTGGCCTGGGTCACGGGCCTGGGGCCTGGTGAGTGGCCCCGCTCCCGGCGGCGACACTGAATGTTCTGGGGCCGTGGGCGGCTCTCGGTGTCTTCCTAGGCAGCTGCTGCAGCACGAGTGCCCGCGGTGCCCCGAGCTGCCGCCTTTCAGCCTCTTCGGGGACCTGGAGCAGCACATGCGGAGGCAGCACGAGCTCTTCTGCTGCCGGCTGTGCCTCCAGCACCTCCAGGTGTGCCCCCAGAGAGCCCGGAGAGAGCCTAGGCGGTGGGTGGTGCTGGGGATGTGGTCACACGGCTGGGAGGGGCTTGTCCACTTGCTGCTTCTGGCCCTGGATGGCCCCGAGGGTCAGGCTGTGCGCGGCACCGAGGCTTCCGGTGGCTGGCGGAGCCCTCTCCTGCCCCTTGCTGCTCCGCTGCTGGCCTGTGAGAAGAGGCAGGAGGCCTGGGGTCCCCCAGCCTGTGCCCAGCACCCTGTGCCTTGCAGATCTTCACATACGAACGCAAGTGGTACTCGCGCAAGGACTTGGCCCGGCATCGCATGCAGGGGGACCCCGATGACACGTCGCACCGCGGGCACCCGCTCTGCAAGTTCTGCGACGAGCGCTACCTGGACAATGACGAGCTGCTTAAGCACCTGCGCCGCGACCACTACTTCTGCCACTTCTGCGACTCCGACGGGGCCCAGGACTACTACAGGTGGGCCGGGCGGCAGACAGACAGATGACCCTCCCTCCCCCAGGGCGTGGGGCTAGCCGGGCTGCAGCCCTCCTACCGACACCCCATCTTCTGCCAGCGACTATGCCTACCTGCGCGAGCACTTCCGGGAGAAGCACTTCCTGTGTGAGGAGGGCCGCTGCAGCACGGAGCAGTTCACCCACGCCTTCCGCACCGAGATCGACCTCAAGGCCCACAGGACGGCCTGCCACAGCCGCAGCCGTGCCGAGGCGCGCCAGAACCGCCAGATCGACCTACAGTTCAGCTACGCGCCACGGCACTCGCGCCGGAACGAGGGTGAGCAGGCGCCTGGCCTGGACGCCCCCGGGCGTGGCCCCATGACCGTGCCCTGCTCTGGAGCCTCAGACGAGCTGTGGGTGCAGGAGGTGGCCTCTGGCCGGGCTGCAGTGCCTGAGCACCCCTCGTGTGCCAGGAGCACTTGCTGCCTCAGGGTCTCGGATCTGCTGCCCTGGGCGCCCGGGGCCCTTCCCTGGACCAGGAGGCTTTTACTGAACATCTGCTGTGTGCAGATCCCACCTGGGGCTTAGGGACCCTCCTCTCCCTTCCCACTGCTCCTGTGGCTTGGCACCCAGGTCGTAGAGGCCCGTGGCTGGCGTGGATCCTGCAAGGCTCCTGTGCCATCCTGGGCTCATGTGCACTGTGGGTAGGAAGGCTTTTGCTGTCCAGGCCTGAGCATTGGCCGGGTGTGGCCTTGACAGCAGGCCTGTCCCTCCTATTGTCGTCCTGGGGTCCCGGGAAGTGACAGGCTGTCTGCTGGCCGCAGGGGTCGTCGGTGGCGAAGACTACGAGGAGGTGGACAGGTACAGCCGCCAGGGCCGAGTGGCCCGGGCCGGCACTCGTGGAGCCCAGCAGAGCCGCCGAGGAAGCTGGAGGTACAAAAGGTGGGGGGCCTTGCGTGCTGCTGACATTCTCCTGTGGTGACCGTGGCCAGTGGCCAAGCTGGGAGTAGGGGTGGGGTCAGGTATTGTGGCCAGAGTTTCTGGGGTTCTGAGTGGCAGCAGGGTCTGTTCAGTGTCCTTGGTGAGCAGAAGTTTCTTCCTTCCTCTTCCAGTTCTAGCCACAGCCACAGATCCCGGGGTTGGGGTGGGTGAAAGGGGCCTGTATCAATTGGGCGGCCACCGCAGCTATACGAGGAAACATTGGCCCGGCGGCCCTGCAGGGCAGAAACATCAGACCCCAGATAATTGCCCCACACACTGGGCCCAGGACTCTGCCTGCCTGAGGCATTGGTCTCGGGCTGTGCTCAGCCTGAAGGCGGGCCTCCTTGTCCCAGGGAGGAAGAGGACCGAGAAGTAGCAGCTGCTGTCCGGGCTTCCGTGGCTGCACAGCAGCAGGAGGAGGCACGCAGAAGTGAGGACCGGGAGGAAGGCGGCCGGCCCAAGAAGGAGGAGGCAGCGGTGCGGGGTCCTGAGGAGCCCCGTGGCCCCCGGCGCCCACCCCGGACTCAGGGTGAAGGCCCAGGTGAGTTGGCCCTACCTGGTGGCAGCTCCGCCCAGGCCAGGAGGCCAGTGGCCAGCTTTGTTTTTGTTTTTGTTTTTGTTTTTGTTTTTGTTTTGTTTTGAGACAAGAGTCTCACTCTGTCGCCCAGGCTGGAGTGCAGTGGCATGATCCCGGCTCACTGCAACCTCTGCCTCCCGGGTTCCAGCGATTCTCCTGTCTCAGCCTCCTGAGTAGCTGAGACTACAGGCCCGTGCCCCCACACCTGGCTAATTTTTCTATTTTTAGTAGAGATGGGGTTTCATCGTGTTGGCCAGGCTGGTCTCAAATTTGTGACCTCAGGTGATCCGCCTACCTCAGCCTCCCAAAGTGCTGGGATTACAGGCGTGAGCCACCATGCCCAGCCTAGTGGCCAGCTCTTGATGGGCATGGTGCCTGGGACGCTGCGGGCCTTCACCTCGGAGGTGAAGAGCACCCTTCACTCTGTCCCCACACCCTGACCTGACCTGGGGGCCTTGTGTTCCTCACAGGCCCTAAGGAAACTTCGACAAATGGTCCTGTAAGCCAAGAGGCCTTCCCAGTGACGGGCCCAGCCACCCCATGGTGTGTGAGGGTGAGGGTGTGGGTGCCCAGGGGTGAATGGTGCAGGGTGGGCGGGTGTGGGCGGCCACAGGTGGGTGCCGGGAGGGCAGGTGTGGAGCCACGGGGCCTGATGGCTGTTGACCAGTTCTGCTTCCCTGCGCCCAGCACCCTCCCACCACCCAGCCCTAAGCTCAAGGACGAAGACTTCCCCAGCCTCTCTGCCTCCACTTCCTCCTGCTGCTCCACTGCAGCAATCCCGGGCCCTGTGGGGTTGGCGCTGCCGTACGCCATCCCTGCCAGGGGCAGGAGTGCCTTCCAGGAGGAGGATTTCCCTGCCCTGGTGTCCTCGGTGCCCAAGCCTGGCACCACTCCCACCAGCCTCGTCTCTGCCTGGAACAGCAGCAGCAGCAGCAAGAAGGTAGCACAGCCCCCACCCTCAGCGCAGGCTACCGGAAGCGGCCAGCCCACCAGAAAGGCTGGGAAGGGGAGCAGGGGCGGCAGGAAGGGCGGCCCGCCCCTCACACAGGAGGAGGAGGGTGGCAGTCCGGCCGCTCAGGAGCTTCTAAGCACATGCCCCACGGGCTCCATCTCCTCCCCATTGGGGCCAGTCTCCATCCAGCCCTCTAAAGTTGGCAAGAAGAAGAAAGTGGGCTCAGAGAAGCCTGGCACCACACTGCCACAGCCCCTGCCCGCTAGCTGTCCCCCTGGGCCTATGCAGGCCCCGGAAGCTCCGGCCAGCAGAGCCGAGGGACCAGTTGCTGTCGTCGTTAATGGACACACAGAGGGCCCGGCCCCAGCTCGGAGTGCCCCCAAGGAACCCCCAGGGCTCCCAAGGCCCCTGGGGTCCTTCCCCTGCCCCACGCCACAGGAGGACTTCCCAGCGCTTGGCGGCCCCTGTCCACCCCGGATGCCACCGCCCCCAGGTACGTGTGCAGGCTCAGGCCTGCTCCCTGGGTGTTGGGAGGGGCCGGGGTCAGGCTGGAGCCACAGGCACAGTCTACAGCTGCGTGGTGGGGACCCCTGTGCGCTGCTGTTGGCCACCCACATGACCTCCAGCCTCCCCTTAACTGCCCTGTGTCCCTTGTCTCTCTTGAGACCGGCCCTCATGGTGCCTCCCGGGGCTGAGGGTGCATGAGCTTATGTAGGCTGGGCCTGCCACACCGGAAGCATGGTGTGGGTGCTGGCCCTGCGCCTGCTCTGCGGGGAAGGGGTGGCTGTGGACAGAAGCTGGCCCTGGAGGCCAGGCAGCCCGCGGTCAGCGAGGGTCCCCTCTGGGTCTTGTCCTGCCACCCCTCAGGCTTCAGCGCTGTGGTGCTCCTGAAGGGCACACCTCCCCCACCCCCGCCGGGCCTGGTGCCCCCCGTCAGCAAGCCGCCCCCAGGCTTCTCTGGCCTTCTGCCTAGCCCCCACCCGGCCTGCGTTCCCAGCCCCACCACCACCACCACCACCACAAAACCGTAAGTGTGGGTGGGCTGCCTGGCATCCACCGGGGGCTAGAGGAAGGGTACCTTTCCCTTGGGCCATTCTAAAGGCTGAAGCCTCCACCTTCTCTTAACCTTCTGATTCCTAGACCCAGGCCGCCGCCTGCTCTGCAGGCCTACCTAGTCCCCGAGAACTTCCGGGAGAGGAACCTGCAGCTCATCCAGTCCATCAGGGACTTCCTGCAGAGCGACGAGGCCCGCTTCAGCGAGTTCAAGAGCCACTCAGGGGAGTTCAGACAGGTCAGGCGGGCCCGGGGCGGGGTGGCCAACCCGTCTTCATCCAGGGCCCAGGCCAGAGGGAATGACTGAGTCTGACTCTCCGGCGGCAGGGCCTGATCTCCGCAGCCCAATATTACAAGAGTTGCCGGGACCTGCTGGGGGAGAATTTCCAGAAGGTGTTTAATGAGCTGCTGGTCCTACTGCCCGACACAGCCAAGCAGCAGGAGCTCCTGTCTGCACACACGGACTTCTGCAACCGCGAGAAGCCTCTCAGCACCAAGTCCAAGAAGAACAAGAAGAGCGCGTGGCAGGCCACCACCCAGCAGGCGGGCCTGGACTGCCGTGTGTGCCCCACCTGCCAGCAGGTGCTCGCACACGGCGATGCCAGCAGCCACCAGGCGCTGCATGCTGCCCGGGACGACGACTTCCCCTCCCTGCAAGCCATCGCCAGGATCATCACGTAGCTCCCGCCAGCATGGCCAGAGCCATCGCGCCATGAGCGCCCTTCCTCCTTCCTTCCTCTCCGGGCTGCCGGGCAGCCAGGTAAGGCCCAGTGAGGCCACCTGGCCTCTTGGTTGGCCAGGCCCACCAGGAAGTCACCAGGATGGTCCACCCGACCTGTTGGCACACTCAGGTGGGAGTCCACCCCTGCCTCAGTGGTGGGCCAGTCTCAGTTTGCATTCTTGTGCTTTTGGGAGGCGCCAGGGGAGGGAAGGGCTGGGATGCTGGGACCTGTTGTTGCTGGCAAAGCCAGAGGTCACAGTGGCCTGATCTGGGCCCTCCCGAAGCTGAGGGCTGCCGCCCCTGCGGCCTCAGAGCTGAAAGCTGCGGCTCCACAGGTGCCAGAGTCAGATGTCACAGGTGTGTGTTGTGTAAACAGTTGGCTGTTTCGTGCTTCAAGAATATTCAGGATTAAAAGCAGACAAGAAATTGTGCTACTTGAAGTTGAATCTTTTTATGAGACAAGCTAAAGCTGAATCTGGGATCTTAAATTGCCTCTGACCTTTTATAAGACAGTTTATCTTCAAATAAATTTATTTTGCAATACCACACATAGCTGGTGTTCTGAGCTTGTCTGTCTGCTGAGTACACCCTGAACCCAAATTTAAAAACAGGGTGGAGGGGACATCTGAAATACTGCAGCAAAATAATATGAGCATCATTATCTGGATCTAGGGTTTTTGGAGGGAGATCAAACATATACGGTAACCACTTCTTTCTGCTTCCAGCACATATAAGTAGGAAAAAAGCTCTAAACACAGCCACATTCAAGTAAGCCCAAGAATATATCCTTAGATCAGAGAAAGTGGGGATATTTCTCTAAGCAGAAAGGGGCTACCATGTGATGAAGGGCCAGTGAGTGGCCTCCAGAGGGGCTGGGTGGGAGCCATGCGGCAGCACTGGCACTGCCCCCCGTGAAGCTGAGGACTTGGACGGGGCTCCAGTGTGTCCTCTGAGTGATGGCCATGCTGGAGCCGGCGAGGACATGAGAGGCTGGTGGAGACCACCTGCATTCCCCCTGCACCAGAGGTGCCTCACAACTGATGCCCACTTTGCAGGGGATCACAGGTTCCTAAGCAAGACCAGTCCCACAGGAAAATAGAGCAGTCTGGGAAATGGGCCGTTTCCTTAAGGTTATTGGAAAGAACTCCTCTTTCTGGGTCTGGCTCTCAGGCTGGAGTGCAGTGGTGTGATCTCAGCTCACTGCAGTCTTGACCTCCTGAGACTCAGGTGATCCTCCCACCTCAGCCTCCTGAGGAGCTGGAACTACAGGTGTGCACCACCATGCCCAGCTAATTACCCTTATTAATATTTCCTTAATTCCTCCTTGTCTTTTTTCCCTTACCTTAGTTTAAAAAATTTTCTCTCCTCATTTGTCACCACTCTAACGCTGACCCCATGCTTTGATTTCCTCATTCTGTCTTTCTTCTGTTTTTCCCTTTGCTTCCTCCTCAGGGCATAACGTGAGCAAGCTCATCTCCTTGAGCCCATCTCGGTTGAAATCTCCCTGCGTCAAGGCTGACCCAGGAGTCCTGGGCCCAGCTGGAGCCACCCTGATGCACTAGCTAAGAAGCTAGGCAGGGTTTGTTAGCATGGATGAGGAAGAAATCTCGACGATTACAGCATAATGATCCTGACTGAAGACAAGGACGGAGAAGAGAGAATGCAATGGGGGAACTTGACCAGACAGTTGATTTCTATGATAGGACCTCATATTCCCTTAAATCTTAAGACCAGGATATGCTTGCCATGTGTGTCATTGAGCAGCAGACTGAAGGAGGAGTAGAACAACAATACTCTACTGAAAATACCCAACACCATCAAACAGAGAAAAGGCCCTGCGCCGCGCGTGTCTAGAGACTAGAGTAATCTTTGTTACTCAGCACTTTTTGCGAGGGTCTCGAAGCATGCCGAACATCAAGCGAGTCCAGGGAGCAATCGAGACCATCCTGCTTAACACGGTGAAACCCGTCTCTACTAAAAAATACAAAAAAAAAAAACTAGCCAGGCGAGGTGGCGGCGCCTGTAGTCCGCAGCCTACTCGGGAGCTGAAGGCAGGAGAATGCGTAAACCCAGGAGGCGGAGCTTGCAGTGACTGAAATCCGGCCACTGCACTCCAAGCCCTGGGCGACAGAGCAAGACTCCCTCAAAAAAAAAAAAAAAAAAACACAAAAAAATTAGCCGGGTTCGGTCATGC